ATTTCTCGCAAGGCTGGCCCCCCGATGAGGGCAGTTGTGCGTGAATTGCCGGACCGGGAGCGTGACGGGACGCAGGTGTCGACTGCCTTTGTGTCTGACTGGGCGCCCCTCCGTTTTAAGGTCTTCTCGGAGGACATGAACAATGCTTTAAAGTACTGCACTGCTGCGGGAGAGTTCCGCTCGGACATGAAAGTAGGACTCCTTTTGTGCCGCCAGCAGGATGTTCTTACGGCCGAAAAAAAGTTCATCATCTTGAATTGGATGCTCCCCAACGCCATCAAGCTGCACATGGATCGTCTCCACGTTCAACCGGAGAAGCGCCCAGTGGTTGTTCCGTTGTTTCCGGCTGGAGACGCATGCCGCAATTTTGAAATACCCAGCTCCCACCACACGACGGGCGTTTTTGGCGCGGACATGGTTTTGTACGCCGCTGCTGCACCGACTGAAGGTACTAATAATGCGTGGACAATGGGGTGCGTTGAGTTGCCCAATGGACGTCCTGTGGTCGGGATGATAAATATTGGCCCGAATTCAGCCACCTATTCGGAGTTCAGTGTTCGTATCGCGGCACATGAGATTGCGCATGCACTTGGGTTTGCTTTGGAAGTGTTTGAGGCCAGGAATATGACACAGATGATACCTGAGGTTCGTGGAAAAAAGTAATGTGCTTGTGGTGTCTTCACCCAAGACGCTGGAAAAGACTCGTGCGCACTTCAACTGCGCAGGTGCCCCTGGAATGGAGCTGGAGGATGAGGGTGGGGGTTCAACGGTATCATCGCATTGGAAGAGACGCAACGCAAAGGACGAGCTGATGGCTGGAATTCCCAGTGCCGGCTACTACACGGCGCTGACGATGGCTGTTTTTGAGGACATGGGCTTTTACAGGGCGCAGTGGGACATGGCGGAACAGATGCCATGGGGCAGCAACTCCGGCTGCGAACTGCTGACGGAGAAGTGCCTGACTGATGGCGTCACCCAGTACCCGGAAATGTTTTGCGGAGCCAGAAGAGAACTTATGGTATGCACATCGGATCGTTTGGCACTGGGGATCTGTAAGATTACTACCTACCAAGACCGCCTTCCCCCACAGTTTCAGTACTTCACGAATCCCAGACGCGGCGGGCTCCTTGACGACCTAATGGACTACTGCCCCTACATTAGAGAATATGAAGACACGCGGTGCTTCGATGGTAATGTACGTTTTATGCGTGGATGCCGCATTGGCCCAAGCTCAAGGTGCTTAAAATCGGATGGGCTGCGCGATTCTGCTGGTCTCATTGGGGACGTCTGTGCTGAGGTGGCGTGCGACGACGACGGCGATGTGCTTGTGCGGTATCTTGGGAATGACACCTGGCATGTATGCCCAGAGGGCAGCAGTATCACACCAACTGGGCCGGTCTTCAGGGGCGGGGAGATTGTTTGCCCGAGGCGCATCGAAGTGTGCTATATCCACTAGGCGCGCAGTGCTGGCGCTGATGTGAGTCAGTTGGTATCGATTTCCCCCTCAATTTCAGTGGTCGTGCTGATCACGGTTTTAGTATTAATGTGTTGATCATAGCATAGGAAGCGCACTGCGCAAACGCTAAATTTGTGATGTTTGGGTTCGTGCTGGGGGCAGGCAGCTCCAAGCGGCAACACCTTTCTCTTCTTTTTCCACACTTGAAGATAAAACTGACATAAAAATAACAAATAAAAATGTGTGTTTTTTCCCCCTTGTTTCTACCATGTGTGTATAATGTGTGTGTGTGTTGTTTTTAAAAAACAGTTACTGCAAGCGAGGGGAAAGGGAATACAGCGGTGTGCCTAAGACACAGCGCTTAGGAAAAGTTATGTTCATTGTGTTGGAGGTTATTATTATTATTATGTGTTGGGGGGTTGGGGTTGGGGAGTGGTAATGATTTTACTTTTGTTATTATTATTATTGGGGGCCTTTCAGGGGAATGGCCCCGGTTTGACGCGCGTGCGGTGGGGTAACACCCCGGTGTGATTCTCTCGGATGTACCATTGCGTGCCGTTTCTGTCAGTGCATGGTTTTTGAAGGACAATTAAGTTCATGGGCAGGTTTGTTTACTGCCTCTCGCACACTTTTTGAGGTAGATTGGCCAGCCAGGGCTGAATGATCCAACGGCTTTTTTACCACACTGTTGCTTGGCACATTCCCCGCAATTGAGTTTTCATTGGTGGGGGTCCTTGGGCCGTGGACGGAGCAAAAAGGAAAGAAAAAAATGATTTTCCCTTTCCGTGGCATTTTTGCCACGCCGGCGGGCCGAGAGTCCATCAGGGCAGTTGGCGGTGCACCGGCGGCCTTTTCGTAGTGGGTAGTCGGCTCTCGGAGAGGGTGCGCCGGGTTGACCCCACTCGCAATAATGAGCCCGGGGCCCCACTGGCGGATGAAGGCTTCCGCGAGTAACAGCGTGCCCGCATTCAGTTCCAGGCGGTGCGGCGTCGGCTGGGAGGGGTGCCAGCCGTTGCCTCACCAAGGGGCTGCTCGGGCAGAAGGTTTTGGCCAGGCGTGGGCGCACTTGCGGTGGTGCCTTGCGGCGACCGATGGGAAAGCACATCGCGGGCGCTTGTCGGCGGAAGGTGCGACCCAGCGGCTCCCCGGCACTGGGCGGAGCCTGGGGAGCTCTGAGGGCACCACGCAAAAAACAAAACAAAAAAAAACGGTGCCTCCGACAGCGCCCAGGCCGCCGTCGCGAGAGGGGGTGGGCCAGGGCGCCCCCGGCCCCAGGTGCCGGAAGTTTGGAAAGCGTAGCGGAACGCGGCCCCCTGCGCCGGGGCGCCCGTGCGCTGCGACGGTCAACGTGCCGGGGTGGTCCTGTAGAGGCCTGGTCCCGCATTGCCGATGCGTCCGTCTGCGGCGCCCGCGTGCATGGTCGCGAGGGGCATTCAGGCTGTACTCGGCCCGGCCCTCTGCCCCCCACAGCAACTGCAGCGGCTTCTTGCTTTCGGTGTTGCTTGGGAGCCAGAGCGTATTAAATGCCCCACCGCCTGCGGGTGCATCACGTGCTGGGTGGGCTGCGCGTGGTGTGGGGGCGGCGGGCGCTGCCCAAGCGGTTGCTCTGCTCTCGGGCCACTCATTCGGCGGTCGGCGTTTCGGGCATCCAGGGAGGCTTCCAGACCCGCGCCCCAGTGGCAGGGGGCGCCGGGCAGAGGAAGTGCGGGGAATACGGGCGCCCGCAGCCTCTGAGCCCTCCGCGGGAGGACCGGTGCCTCATGCGACGCACTGCGGAAGCGTATGGGCGTGGCGCACGGTGAAAGTCTCGCCTGGGCCAGTTCGGCCGCGCCCGGGGCCAGCGTCCTATCGAACTAGTTTGCGTTGGCCGGGAAGAGGGGGGTGGGGAACTCGTGTCGAGGTTTTCTCGGCGAGAGGCGCGGCGTCCGCACTGCTTCTCCATCCCTGTCGCGGAGCGAACACCAGACATCGATGCCGGCGGATTTTACAAGGA